TAAGTATTTTTTAACTGAATCTGCAGTGTTGTACAAGTGAGGTTTTAAATAAATTTTGGAGCTGTTTGCCAATAACAGAACATGACATTTTGGGCTTTTGAAAACCGAGGAAATTCAGTAATTTACAAATTGAAAATATAAAAAAATTTGCCAATTTCAGAATTTGAAAGAAATTCGGAAATAACTTGCAAATTAGTCGATTACTATTTTGCGCTCGTACACCCTCGTTAGTAGCAATATGCAAGACCCGGCTCTTATTTTGCATAAAGAACCACGTTTCATGCACGGTACGGTTGCAAAACGCGAAATTGAAGATCATCAGACATCAGGACGCGCGTTGCAGTACCTTTGAAAAACGTAGAGTTAATCTAGTATGCAGATGATAAGACGAAACCATAGAAAAAGTCGAGTGTCTTTTTCACGGGAATAATTATAACGCAAAAGATGAAAGAGGTGTAAAATTTCAGCTGGGCTACAAAAGATTGTGGATTGCTTAAAAGGGTAAGGTGAAAAAGGAAGGAGATAAAGAGAGTGAAGGGGTGTCCGGGCGACGACAATGAAAGTGTGGAAGAAAGTTTAAAGTAACAGGGTTCCCTGGCTCCTCTTTTTTCCCGTATAGTCGCAGGCCCCTAATGGGACCCACCTTCTCGTCAGACGGATTAACAGCAGCTCTGGCACCTGTAACGTTTGCACAAGAGTCTCAAATAGATGTTTATCTTTTAAAGAACTTTTTTTTATGGTGGAGCACGAAACATCCTTAAACGGGGTTCATAAAATTATCTTCATTCACGATACACGAAAATGGTACTGTTCTTACTGTGGGGCAACTTATCCTGAGGCTCGCATTTACTGAAGTACAGTTTTCACGTGTTTCAGTCTATAAATTTTCGTGCTGAGAAATTTGGGAATTTTCAAATCGAGTTTTTGGTCTTTCAGGGTTGTGGAGTTTCAAATGTTAAGTGGAAGAAATTCTTTCTATTTTACAAATTAGTATACTTGTGGTAATGGACTTATTGCTGTCCATGAATGCGATATCATTGTATACGATACAACGTGTTGGAATACCACGTGTAGCAATATCACGCGTGAAAATACCACTCGTACCAATATACTACGCGTAGAAATATGAAGCGTACCAATACCATGCGTAGTAGTACCACACATTCTAATATACCACGCATCGACACCACGCATAGAAATACCACATATT